GCGAGTGGCTGAAAATGCTACAGAATAATATTACATTTGAGAATATCTGATTAAGGAAACATTTGTCGGAATTTTCCTGATGATCCAACCGTTTATTCATGTCTTAATAATATATTTGAGTGGCTCGATAAGATCAAATTCACAGCTGATCTAAAAATGACCAACATTCTCTTCTTAACTGGTGCTTGTTAATTTTAAAACCTCCTAAACGATACTGGTTCTTATTAAACGTCTGAGAGAACCATTTCTGCCTTCCATCAATATAGTTAATGCTAACTTCCAGGAGAGTGATTCCTAGCGCTTTCTTGGGTTAATGATTTCCACTAGCATGAAGTGAAAAGCTTATATCGAATCGATTGCGAGATATGCTGCTAAGAATGTTGTATCACTGCGAGACAACTTTTCTCGCCAGTATCTCTCCTAGATATTTGCAAGTCTACCATTCTTCCCTATATTTGGTTACGTGTTCCCGCCTTATATTTAGAGATCATTGATAAAATCCAAAGAAGAATCTGCAATGTCATTGGTCTTGACCTGTCATCTCGAATGCAGTGACTTTCAAAGCGGCTCAACGTATCTTCCCTGTGCCTTTTCTATAAATAATTTCAGGGTAATTATTCTGATGAACTATGCTCTATGCTACCTAGGCTCTATAAATTTAAGCGTATTACTAGGTTGGTGGCAATTTCTCATCATTTTACAGTCGAATGGCTAGATGTAATCTATGCTTAGTTTCTTCTCTCGCACTTCCGGTTTGTGAAACTCTCTTCCGGCTTCTTGCAATGCCAATCGTTTTCTTCCCCCTCCTTAATTCCTGCTCTTTTATTCTTCTCCCTCCTTAATAATGCTTTCTTTTTCTTATATTCTCTGACACTCATTAACATCTCGTGTTGTAGGGACTTTATTGTCTTGCTTAGTGCGAAATTACTACAAAAATATCAGGAAAAAATGAAATCTATTTTTAAAAGGTTGGTATATCATACTTATCGTACATGAGATATCTCGCGCAAAATCAAACTTGATTCATAATAAAGCAATTTTTCAATTAACATTGATTCTAAAAAAATATATATTTTAGGGATTTATTTAATATTTTGTTTTTATCCCACGTTCAGTAACCCCTCGCGTCATAATAGCCTTGCTTCGGGAAATAATTTTAAAAAGTTTTACCTTTTTTAACTCAGTTTTTATTAACTCATTTTTTTAAATTATTTTTCCTCTCGCACTTCTCGCTTGTGGAACACTCTTCAGGTTTCTTGTTTTCCAGACAACTTTGATCTTCAAAAGTTAAAATGCAATTTCCATCGCTATATTTGTTCTCTTAAATTTTGTTCTTTTATTGTTCTTGGTCTTTAATAGTATTTTCTTATATTCTTTCACACTCATTTACCTCCTGCATAATATTGACTTTTTGCCTGGTTTGGAATCAAATGATTCAAACAGAATGCCTATCATCCTGATTCTTTCTGACCATTGATTATGCTTCTCATAGGGATTGCACTTAGAAGAAGCATTTACAAGATCTATGTGTCTACGGCATCTATAAGAACATTACCACGAAAGATTAGGTGGACATTTAATGATGTAAGTGTTCTTGACTGAATATAAAATAAAAGAGGAAAAATAATTCTACTATGTATCCATCATTAACGAAACGTTAGATATAAAGGAGCTACCTATGACTTGTTTTACATCCTAATTCCTTAGACATTTACGTAAGTTGAAATAAGTCAGTCCAGATCCCACCATTATGTATGGATCGAATTCTCTGGATTTGCTTTTTTTAAGTTGAAAGATACCCTTTGTCTTCGTCTTCGTCTGGCTAAGTGTGTGGGCTTTTGTCCACCAAAATCAAATTCACTCGAATGGCCTCGTCAAAGTCTATTTGATTCATAGCAATCTCCACCAAAGACACCAGGGAACATGAAGAGAGGATAGGAGCAGGTGCCGACGACGAATAGTTTACTATTATCAACCGAACTTATAAGGGAAGTCTGTATCAAAACCGTATCTGAAAGACGAGGGAAATCCCAAGATACAATGTCCCTTAGATTTAATATCCAGCTTCACATCTGAAAATATTAAAATTGTTTACTCATGGTTCAGTGGAACTCTTTAGCTTTTTTACAATTTTAAAAATTAAAAAAAACTCTTCCAGAAGATTAGTCATTCCTGACAAGAGTAGTGCCTAGCAAATTCTAAAATTATGATAAATTCAAATCTTAACCAAAAAGAAATGGGATAACCTATTAAATAATAATATTCTAAAAAGAGACACAGAACGTTTGAGTAGAATATAGATATTTACTACACTATTTACATTGTTCGGAATGTAGGACACAATTTTATTATTCGCTGAAACCTTGTGAATGTAAGAGTAAAGATGGACACAAATGTCCAAACAATGTAAATAGTGTAAATACTTCATGTCAAAACTATAGACAAATGTTGAATCTAGATATATAAAGTTGTAGCCTCTGTCGGTCTGTTTGTTTGTTATCGAACTCCTCTGGTTTTGGAGATAGACCCCCATAACTATATATATTCTGAAACTACATTATCGAGTGTACTAGGATAAGTATATTTCATTTTAATCAAAGGGAGCCCCCATGGAGTTATAACCACCCAGACTTAATTTTTTCCTTTTGATATAAATTAAATTAAATTTGAACAAGGGAGTGACTCTATGAATATAGAAGGAGAAAGCCAGAAGACAGAGGTCCCATCGGCAAGATCAAAATGAAACAATATGGACGTCAAACTGAGCAAGAAATCACCAATCAGTGAGTAGTGCCTTACACTACATATTTGTTGAAACAAATCAACTGTCATATCAATGTTGAAATCTGATCATCAATTCATTCAATCAAGTATTGCATTAAATACATATCAAAGGGGTCAGATCAAAATGAAAATGTTTTAGCACAAACCCCCACTGAAATATTTTCCTTTTGATTTGTTAAATTTAAATTTGAACAAGAAAATGACTCCTATCCAAAATATAGAAGGAGAAAGCCATGAGATAGAGGTTACATCGGCAAGATCATTGAGTAATACTAAAATGCATCATTTTTCTCCACAAATTATAACAAATCAATCATCATTTTCTTACAAAAAATGTTTAACAGGCGCGTGTAATTCGGCTAGTATAGAAGAAAATATCATGCAGCTATAAAATAACATACAAATATAAAATAGCATACAGATACAAAATAACATATAGATATAAAGTCGAATGTATATATAAAGTAGCATTTTTTTCACGATTTATATTCGGGCTATTTTCCAGCAAATATAAAGTAGAATATAATGATGAAATAGAGTGTAGATACAAAGATGCATATAGGCATAAAATAACATATAGATATAAAGTGGAACACAGATATAAAGTGGAATATAAATATAAACTAGCATGTATATAAAAAGCATCATATAGATATGAAGTTTCATAAACTAGCATGTACTTTTTATATAAAATCACATGTAGATATACAAATAAACAAACGGAAACGATTGGAAAACCGATAGCAAATAAAAAACGACGATTTATTTTTGTTCTAACCTCACAGAAAGTGCAGGATTTAATAACGTAAAGTGTAATTCATCGGCTAAGTGTCAGATAGGGGCTTCAGCTTTTGACTAAACATTGGTGAAAGCAATTCATCCCGGATGAGGCTAACCCACGAATAGAAAAATCAGTCTCCCTTAGTTTAATATCTGACTTCACTAACAGATGGGTTTTGTAAATGTCTCGTGGGTAGGTATAACTCATTAGCTATTCACATATAAATGGTGTCAATAGAGGAAGAAGTCACCCAACCATATAGTACTCATTCACAATAAATAATATAATTTCTGTCTGAATTTCTGGGAATGATTATTATTTATATTCGAACTAGGAACAATAAAGCATTGGTATGTGAATTTGCTTACAGTATTTTGGGACCAATTGAAGATACCAAAATTAAGAAAGTGCAGAAATTTAAATAACACAGAATTTTGTTTTAAGTATGGAAATGTGACACCGAAATCCAAAGGCACATTGGGATAGCAAAAGATGTCTTCCAAATGTTAAGCAAAGTATTAAGAAGCAGGAAAATTTCATTGGAAACAAAGAAAAGAGTAATGAAGTGTTATTTAACATCGGTACTCCTAGATGGCAATTTGAATGATAAATAACACGTTTGTGACAAAAAAATGTGGTCCTACAGAAGGATGCTGAGAATGCTATGGGCTGAATACGTGAATCTTTAGAGAATATTGTTGAAATTTCTAGGGCGCAAAATGAGAGAAAAGAAGATTTGGAAAATTTGACACTCATAGGACAAATACAGACAAATATTGAAGGCAATAGAAAGATAGAGGAAAGTCGCGCATAACTTAACTCAAGAGCATGTGTAAATGGTTGGAGGAACAGGGATTAGGAGATATAGCAAAAAGATAATCTTTAATAAGGGCTACAAAGAACAGGGATTTGTGGAAAGACATGACCCTCCACATCTTGAATGGACACGGCACATAGCTGCATAGCGCTGTTTTAGACACAATAAGAAAGAACAAGACGAGATATCTCGAGACATGGACAGCGGAATGAAAACAATCTACTCCCGTAGATTAAGTAAAAGTTTCAATTTGAAATTTAGTAAAAGTTGTCCCAATCGACAGATACCTGAAGAAGCGTGAAGGGCACAAAGAACGAAACGTTGGAGGTAATAACAAACTGTCAGATGTTGCTGGTATTCCCAAGCTGTCATCCATTTAGATAATGATAAGGTTCGACATTTCTTAATTTCGGTGATCGTATGGGAACCGATGTTTCAACGTGAGCCATTTATACCACCCACGAATCCAAGTTTACAGCACCTGGTATTCACTACTTGTCACACATCTAGGTACTGACCAGACTCGATGTTGCGTAACATAGGTGATCGTACGGAAACCGGTTTTTCAATTTGATATGGACGTAAGCCATATTATCTATACTACCCGCACATCCAAGGTTACAACACCTGGTATTCTCAAGCGGTCACCTATTTAGATACTGAACGATTTCGACATTGCTTAACTTCGATGATTGTACGGGAATCGGTGTTTCAATGTGATATGACCGTCAGCCTAGTAAACTATTGCAAGTAACTGTAAGAGGGGAGAATTTGTTTTATAACCGTTGATAAGTTTTTCCAGGAATCAGTTTCCATCGTGGGTAATACGCTTGTATTTACATAAATATTGCTCGAGACTGATAAAGCTATCCGTCCATTTTAGTCGAAGCACGAAGATCACAACGACACCCACCATTAAAACCCAATCACCGATTGCCAGCCCATTATAGAAGTTGTTACCATGACGAACTGATGAAAACATGACGTAATTTATGAATGTCGTTTTAGCGATATGTCATGTTGAACTGAACTGTTTTAAGTAACTTTTCAATTAACCTGTTCAAAAAGTAATTCTATTTTGCACAGCGTGTACAACTTTAAAAGCTAAAAGAAATAACAGGAACTTAGTGTTAAATGTAAACCTATCATAAAATTTCACCGCTTGTCATACAAGATTTAGATTGATATAACTTGGTCACATAATAATTTCCAGCGTATTTTCTGAATATTTGAGATTAAACATATTGTAATTTTATGAATTGATAAGCCTGAGTCGGCAGCCACTCGCACCCGAGCATATAGATTGTCATCCTCTCTTCATATTTCCTTTGTCCCTGGTGGCAGTGGCGGAGAAGTCTGTGAAGTACCAGCCTACTACTGAAGAATCGTGTGCAGGAATCACTGAGTCGTGTGGGTAGTGGACGCGGTTTGGCGAGTTCGTCCATCATGACAGCACATCCCAGATCCTCTTCATGTTGACGGTTGGACCTGAAAGTCTCAGTGCCGCCTCGGTTTCCCAGGTCTCAGGGTCAATGTTGGTCTGTGTCAGGGATTTTCTTTTGAAGTGTCGTTTGGTTATTGTTTTACTGGTTATATTTTGTATGCAAACTTAGTGTTATTTAAAATTATGAGAAGCACGTCCACAAATCTATGGTTCCTAGAGCGAAAGACATTAATACTCTTGACTTTAAATTACGTACCTCCACTTAGTCGCGTAAAAAACAGCATAACATAATGAAAAAAGGCCCCAAATTGAATAAAAACAAAGTTTTGCCATTAAAATGTTTATATTATTATTAAGAGGAAAGACCAAAGTATCTTTTATTATTTTTTAAAAAATTTTTAATCATTTCTAGCACGTTGGAAATTTTGGTTTTGTTTACGTCAGCGGCCGAACCAAGGATAAAGGTTAGTTTTTTTTTCGCTTTTTCTGGTGAAACATTAATTTGGAAATTCTTGCTAAAGTTAAATTGTTGGATTTTAATTAAATATTCAGGACGTATTTAGAAATGATTGGAATTTTGGAAATTTTTTTTTTTAGAAAATCTTGGTAAAAAATATTTTTTTACATATGTTACCACCTATTTGCTTAATTTCATAAAATTTCGAGCAATTAAATTTATAGGGCTGGGCTTTTTTTTTTTAGTTAATAGCAGGACTCCTTGAAGAAAGTAAATCACATTTTTTTTTGTGTAAAACATTTGGCTCTTTCACCGAAAATCTACTCTGAATTGTAAAATAAAAACGCAATAAAACTATGACTTTATTTAATTAGAATTATTGCTTTGATAAATAAGATTTATTTATTTATTATTATTGTCTTAAAAATTTTACGATGAATAATTAATTTTTACACGAATTATTTTCATTTATTTAATTTTGATTAAACAATTTATAGTATTAAAAAATCGTTTAAATTCTTTGTTGCTTTCAAGGCGGCGGTTTGGTGATATTGTTAAGTGAAAATTAATTTACCGAATCAAAAACTGAAAAGCTCATAACAATCGTTTGAGCCAATATATTTTTAAAAGAATTAAAAAAATAATTTTCAGTGTATAGAGCATTCCAGTTTTTTACCTATGGGAAGCTATACACGACATAATCCTTAAAGAGGTCACGTGATTTAAGTGTCGTCTGACGCACTGCAATTTTTTTCACTTTCCTTATTCAGTTCTGTTTCCTCATTAACGTCTTTGCAAATCATTCCTTCAAAATTTCAAAGTAAGTTTTAAATTTAAAGTAATATAAAAATTTAATAATAAAATAACCATCATGATGACAATTAATAATAAATAAAATACTGCAACATTTCATAAATTATTGATTTTTACCTCTATCTTGGTATTTTATGTCAGTTAGTAAATTTTACAAGTAATCTAAGAAAATATATTATTTTAAATTTTATTATTTTTTCGTAAAGCATCTACAAACGTAACTGAAAGTCAATAAAATATTAGATAATTGCTGAAAATATTATGTTAATTTGTAAAACGTACGAGCTAGTTTTAAATTTTAAAAAAATGCGTTCACTTAGTTTTCGAAAATTTATGTCAATTCTGGTCATCCATACTAGATGTCACCACCTCGTAACTTATCGGTGTCGGCGATAACGTTAATAAAGACATGAAAAAGAGACGACTCGTTGTTAAGTATTGCTTGTATACTATATTTTTTATGCTATAAGTAAGTAATATTTGTTTCAAATCAGATTAATTTAAATTTAAATTTGCTAATTTTACTCAAATAACATGTCACAAATATATATTTTATTTTTGGAAGATTTTTAAAATAGATAATTTTGTTTTATTTACAAATGCATTAAAAATAAGAAAATGGCCGCTTTTAAGAAGATTTTCTTAAATCGGCCGAAAAGTTGAGATTCCGATCTATATAATCTTTTTTTTAAAATACACCAGAATATTTTACTTACTGGAAGTAGTAAATCTAATCATTTAGCTTTCAAGTAAAGCTAAAATGAAATCTTCGAGAAGTCTTTTTCATTTTTAAAAAATAATTTTAAACCTTAGGTATGGAAAATTCAGTGGAGGTATCTACTTCACATATTCAAATTTATCATTTCATGACGGATTTCTTTCAATCCTATTAATACAGCTTTTTTAATGAAGTATTTCTACTGCCACTAATAACAATACTAATAATACTATTTTAATTATTATTGTTTTTGTTATTGTTGCGCTTTCCATTTTCTTTGTGTATACGAGTTGCGCCCAAGTTTCAACCAGAGATTTCAAGAGACAACCATTTTTTGTATCAGATGAAAGCAGTATGAGGGGTGGGGTCTACTGGATTTTAGATGGAAAATAAAATCTGAGTGTCATTTCCAAATTACAACATAAGATTATAAACAACGCGAAAAATTATTTTCGCAGAAAAGGAAGATGAACAAGCGAATTCTGACAGTGTCATTTATGCAGTGGCACATATATTTACATGTTGAAAATCAATGTTCTTTGTTGTGGCCATGAAGTGGGCAATAGTTCTATGTGATATGTTGCAAGTGTCTGCAAGGTTCGAAGTTATTTTGCTGCAAGTGAACCCGCAAAGTTTGAAATGATATGTACGCAAATATGTATGTATGTGTGTGTGTGTGTGTACGCGTGCGTGCGAAACACACACTAATGAAACATGTGTGTGATTACTAACTGAGTGCGTGCGATAACAGTAATTTCAAAACACGTTGGAGAAAGAGAGCTGATGCGAGACTTACTTTCGTCGTGGCGTTGTATGTAGAAAAATCATCGCTGACATACGCATTGTCATGGTACTTGTGTCATTGTTGTTAATCGCGGTTCGCTGACTTTCATTTCAGATATCGCCACGGACCGTAGCTGATGAGCCGCTTATATGATTTATGGTGATTCGGTGACCACCTCACTAATTCTGTTTGAGTTTTGCGCGGGAAAGTAGTAGGTATATTTCCTGGTCCTTTGGAGTTAAACTGCGCGGAAGTCGTAAAAAGTACATCACGTGACTTGTCATATCCAATCAGGTTTCAGAAATCAATTATTTACTTTTGGAGCTGTGTTTGTACACAATTATAAAAGATTTTTCGTATCTACTGAATTTAGTAGGATTTATTTTTAGACGTCTCTTGTTTTTTTTTTTTTTCATTTATTAGCCGTAAAATATAGAAGTTTATATCCTAGAGAGGTTCCATTCAATCAGGAAGAAACAATGTAATTGTGGTCATTGCACTGGGAAAGCTACGGAAGGTACGAGAAGTATCCGTGATTATGATTTGTTACAATTAATATATTTTAGAGCTATTAAAATCTGCTCAATTATTATTATTGTATTCTGAATAAATCCTGATACTGTTGATGTCTTGTCTACCAAGGAAAATATTGCCTGTTAAGTGAAAGCAAGTACCTCATGCAGATAGTCCATTTCAAAGTATGCATGCACTACCCAATAAGGCCTATTTTTATAGCGTTCGCAAAGTGTACTTTACACATTGTTGGTCGACATAGTCCTTAAACTTCAAGGGCATGGAGCTGAATACTCCAATATCTATAATTAATTTTTTTCTCTCCAGCATTTTGCACAATCTGGCAATTTCAACCTTTGAATCGGAGTATTACCTGATGCTTGCTATTGTTTGCTGCTATATTGTAGTCAGCAGACATGGCCTAATCAATATGGGGGCTTCGACTTGGTGTAATGAATAGCAAGCTTGTCTCGCTAGTTTAATTACAACGGAGTAGTGAGTTCAATCCTCACTGAGTGTACCATACTTTTTGCCCTAAAAAACGCTAGGGCCAAATCAATATGGACATTTCGACGCGTTGTAATGTTCAGCAAACTTATTTTGTTGGTTTAATTATGACTGAGTAGTGGGTTCGATCTTCACAGGGTGCTCTATTCTTTCATCCTTGTGCTATCACTTAGTAAAACACCATGGTCAGGCACTTGCGGATATTTTGAGAAGGACTATATCTCGTCTTCAGTGTTTAATCATTCGATCTATTTGGAAGTCATTGCCTTATTCTTCCTTTATTCTCAATGTTACATGATCGTACCATTTCAAGGATAGTTTGTAGCCTTTGTCTGCAAAGTATCCAAATAAGTTAAGGCAAATCTGTTCATGTCGTTTTTCCGTGTAATTATTATTATTATTGGTATTGTTGTTCCTTCACCTCATTAGATTTTTTTAAAGTAACCCTAACCTTAACCCTGCCCGGGGCGTGGGGGGACCCGAGGTGGGGTGTTA